AAGAATTAAAAAATTTACCTTTAAATAGTGATTGGAGCCGGCTCAAGCTCAGAGGAGAGGAGAGTGGCTCACTGGCTTGTGGAACAGAAATTAAAGAGGACTTTGTGGCTTTGGCTTGGCTGCTGGAGTTTGGGGAGCAGCTTGGCTGAGATGGATGGCCCGCTCTCTGTGTGTGTGTTGATTATTGGTGAAGAAGACAGAAGAAAATGATAGAAAAGAGTAAAGGGTGTGCGGTGCGGATGGGGTCGTGTGTGGGGGGGGGGGACAGACAGAAAGCTAGGGTTTCATTGGGGCGACACGCGGAAGCGGTCCCCCACCCCATTATAATTTTTTTTTTAAATTCAACTATCAAAACGGCGCCGTTTTGATTTAGCTTTTAAATTTTTTTTTACCAGGTCCAAAACGGCGTCGTTTTGGCCTGGTTTTAAAAAAAAAAAAGAAAATTAGAATGCAATCTAGACTGCAGATTACCCAGAAAACCCAAAAAAACAGAGGGCGCCGTGAACCATTATTTTCCGGCGAGGCGCGCGAGGGGAGTGGCGAAGACCTGGGGTCCAGTGGTGTTTCCTGGCGAGGGGAGTGGCGGCCGCCACTCCTCGCTCCCACGTGGCTTCGCCACTATACCTGATAATCAGAATTTATTTTACTACAAGCTTAATTTAGTCGTAGATCTACCAAATAAATTACCCTTTATGTTCTATTTAGTTTAACTTTTATTAAGTAGTTTACGTGAACATTTGTTGTCAATCATCATAAAACTAACATTAATCATCCCTTCATAGAATAAAACATTAATCATACGCTACTATTTTTTGTAATAGATCTGAAAATTAAAAGTAATCAAATTAACTAAGTAAAAGTTTAGAGTTACAATGATTAGCATTTACCCATAAACAAGAAGTGCCGATTGCACCTTCATTATCACGTAACTTCACTTCCAACCAATTCCACTTAACTAAAAATAAAATATTTATCAATAAAAATACAATTGTATTTCAATAGCTCAATGTACATGTATCGTTGTATCTAATAAATAAAAAGAATAAATTGTAGTAATGGTTTCTCAATTTTAATCAAATTGGAGCAATGATCTCTCAACTAAAAATTCATTACCATTGGTCCCTCAACTCATCAAAATGTGTAGCTATGGTCATTTTCGTCAACTTCGTCAAAATTTTGTCAAAATGAGTTATGTTGGAAAGGACCATTGCTACAATTGGTGTGAAATCCCGTTCCTGGATTTCACTGTTATAATATACGTATTTGTATTATTGAGATTTTATATAATTTCTAGAGAATTTATTTTAATTTGTTTGAATTTAGATTTTAATTGAACTAGTTACAAAGTTTGAAGTTTGGAAATTAATTATTTAAAATCCGTAGACCTTTCGAGGTCACAATTTATATTTTCAAATTGATCTCGAAACCACGAACGCATAGATGAAAGCCATCTGCGAGTCTAGATTATAAGGGTATAGTTACGAACATTTGAAGTTGTGTTACTAAACTATAGATTTTAGAAATTATTTAAACTCCCACTTGGTGGAAAAAGCCTAAGGAGGTATGTGCTTTTGTGGCCAATCAGAAGTAGAGGTTGGAGGGAGGACCAATCAGAAACAAGAAAGGAGGGAGCAACCAATCAAAAAAGGAGGAGAGATAGGAGGGGAAGGAGAGACCCGAAATGGGTCATTTTTGACCCGTGAACCACCATTTTTGACCCGGGCATATCTCCTTCATCCGACTTCCGTTTTGGGTGATCTTGGTGTCCATGGAAAGCTCTTGACAAGTCCTACATTTATGTAGTGTTAGATTTCCATTTTTCTTTTCCATTTTTCAAGGTCGAAGCCACAAAATGCTGAGGGTTTTCCGGCGAGTTTTCTCATTTTATGGTGATTCCGACAATGATTACCGTCTATCACCACCACCAATAGACTCCCCTCAACCCCTGGAGTAAGGCCCAAGCATTGGATGTGGCGTCGGAGTTCATTTTGGTGATGAATTGAGGAACACCCATTTCTAAGGTTTCCGGCGTGTTTGGATGAAATTGGGACACTTTCCGGCCGAATTGGACTTGGCCACATGTATGAAAATTTCTCCTTTCATTGAGATATACTTTCCTATAAAATTTGGTAATTTTTGGAAATTGTTGAATTTTCCGACGGGTTGGGGCGGCCAACAGCCATCGGCGGCGGCGCTTTGGCCAGTGGGCTGACGATGCCTTTCTAAGTTTAATTAGATGTCTTGAGTTTTTATTTGATATTCGTATGACGTGGTTTGATCGTTTGAACCTAATTTCATTATGATACATTACTTGACCAAAATATAAATCGACGATCCGACTGTCGGATCGTGATGAAATTTTAGTATGTTGTTCTAGAGGCATAATGTGGATTTTAGAAGATCACAGATCCAAAATCCGATGTGTGGATCTTCCGGGTCAAATTAAGTAGGGATGTGGACCCCACCGTTGATCGGAAGTTGACTTTTGGTTAATAGGTATTGAACCATTTGAATTACTAAAATTAGTATTACTAGAGACTCAGTAAGGCTTTGTGGTCTTGTCTCGGTGAGTGACTTTAATATATGTGATATGGTTATTACCCGATTTTCTTATATTAGTATCCTTTGTAGATATGACTCGGTTTTATAAATGAGTTTTCTGTTAAAATGTGATTCTTTTATAATTTGCCATCGATCTATTTTTTGAAATATGATTTGACTCATGGATTGAAAATATTTGTGAAAAGGTGATTTGAAGTGCGAATTGAAATGTTTATGAATTGTGTTATAAATATATATTTGAAATGTTGACAAATGCAAGGGCTAGTAGGGGACCGTTACCCTAGTGTCACGGGGTTAGGTGACACTGAGTTTGCACCATGTAGCAGTGGTACATGGGTGGTCCTGCTTGGTTAATCTGCGATGGGGGACCATATTATTTATGGATCATGCTTGGTTAATCCACGATGGACGATCCTTATGTCCATGTATATTTAGGAGTGATCATGTTTGGTTAATCAGTGATGGCTGATCACTGCCTAACAGTTCTGTAGGTGTGACTCTGCTTGGTTAATCTGCTATAGGGGGTCACAACCTACTTGGTTATCTTGACCCTGCTTGGTTCATCCGTGATGGGGGTCACTAGTGGTCCTGCTTGGTTAATCCGTGATGGGGGACCATATTTTTTATGGATCGTGCTTGGTTAATCCGCAATGGGCGATCCTTATGGCCATACATATTTAGGGGTGATCATGCTTGGTTAATCCGCGATGAGTGATCACTGCCTAATAGATTCGTGGGAGTGACTTTGCTTGGTTAATTCGCGATGGGGGGTCGCTACCTACATTGTTACTCAGGGGTGGCTCTGCTTGGTTAATCCGCTATGAGGGGCCACTTCCTGTTTGGTTACTTATGTAGGTTTCGGCCGAACTGCGTCCATTTAACCCTAGATTTTAGTGTATTTATGAACAATAGTTTTTGAGAATCTTTGTGGTTTGAATTGGAAAAGTCGTTGGATGTCTGGGTGACTCATTCGGAGTTTTAGAGACTTGACTATGTTTTCATAATTATGAACTTATATTTGAGGTTTATAAACTGTGATCAATGGTCATTCTTTTTATTGAATATCACATACTTGTATTATTGTCATTTACCCGAGTTTCGCAGCTTATCCGAGTGTCTGATTTGCCCAGTGTGCCATCTCCTTGATGTAGGCATGATTGTACATATGATAGGTCTGGGTAGATTACGAGAAGCAGCTTGGTATTTTAGTTCCATTGAGTGGTTCAGAACCCAAGATTGTTGGATTCCATTGAGTGGTACGTAATCCTTACTCATGCTCATTTCCATAAGGTTAGTCTAGAACCCTAGATTCGAGTGAATGGGAATTACCCCAAATAGACTTTGTGAATATAAATTAGAATTACCATGTTTATTACTCATAATCCAAGTAGGGAATTATATAGAGCTCCTTAGTTAAATTCGTGAAATAATAAGTTATCGCATTGATTGATTAACGTAAATAAATGCTAAGATCATGCATTTTTTATTCATAAATTGATTAATTGACGAGATTGCGGAATGATTTTGGATATGGATGTTATTATTATGATTATTTTAGTTGATCAATGTGGCTTGAGAAGAATATTGTGCTTCGTCATTGGTTCTTTGACATATTGCATGGTATGTATTGTGATATATTGTTGAGACAAAGTGATTTATGTGATGGATGTTTGAGTGTAGTGAAATGATGAGTTACGAATGACTTGATCCTTGTTGAGGGTACGTAGGTAGTCTAACGAGGAGGTTAGATGTAACCATAAAGTATACGAAAAATTATTACGTAGTTGGATTTCGAGTTGTGCTTTGCACATATCCCGGAGGCAGGGTATGTTAGAGATACGAGTATTTGGTGACGTCACGTGTTGATCCTGGACGTATGTCGGGATCGGGGCGTGACAATTGGGGTCCCTCAATTCATCAAAACGTGTAGCTATAGTCTTTTTTGTCAACTTCGTCATAATTTTGTCAAAATGAGATATGTTGGAAGGATCATTGCTACAATTGAGTTAAAATTGAGGAACCATTGCTCTATTTGGATTAAAGTTGATAGACTATTTCTCCAGTTGAATTAAAGTTGAGGGACCATAGTTGCACGTTTTGATGAGTTGAGGGACCAATGGTAATGAATTTTTAGTTGAGGGATCATTGCTCCAATTGAGTTAAAATTAAGGGACCATTGCTACAATTTACTCAAACAGTATATGATAAATAATCATCATGTAAAGGGGCAACTCCAACCCAACAGGGTTGCTCGCTTTGCAAGGGTGGGAGGGAGGGGGAAACGTCTATCATATGCAACTTTGCCCTCGCTTTGCAAGAAATTGTTTCCACGACTTGAACCCGTGACCTTTCGGTCACAAAGAAACAACATTTCCATTACGCTAACGCTCGCCCTCATAAACAACCATCACATAATTGAGAAAAACCGAGTAAAAATGTTTAAAAAAAAAACTAATATCACAATTTTATTTTGTAGGTGTTCTTGGTAGCCACTTGGTGCTAACTGATACAATACAAGAAACCAAAAGATGAGGACAATGCGTCCATGGGGGCTTTTATTTTATTGAGTCATTTGTTTTAGAATTTCATGCCTAAGATCTAGGCAGATGCAATGAACAAAATCCTCTCTTACAGACACCCCAAGGACGAACACGATTAGCAGGTGGTACAACAATACTTACCATACAAATGACTAAGATACGCGCTTGAATGCTAGTATACAGGGCACGAGCTATCTTCGCTGCAAGTGACTACTATAAGTCATCAACTGTCAATTGACTCAAGCCATCAGTTGATGGATTACCTAGCTCCGCATCGTCCTTTTTACACACATATATGAAGTGACAATCCGGATCTTCCAAAACAAAATCAGCTGGAAGTAAGCCCTTCTTGGTTATAGGAACGGGTTCCAGATCTGATTTCGATGACAAACCACAGCCTTCAGGCGTTTGGAATCCTGGTCTGGCTGTGAAACAATAGTCAAGGGGACACAAAAACTAGATAAGGCACCTCTATCAGGAATCGTAAACACTGAATTAACAAGCAAATTCATAGAGTTATCATCTCTGTTTGACTGTTTGTTGACTATCCAAGAAAGATCCCAGGAAAAGGTGAGTACATCCTAGTTTACCACTCGAAAAATACTCAGCTTGCATGTATGCTATGCACAAGCAACAAATATATGAAGCTCGGACAATATGGACTGAAATCCTAACTGAATAAACCAAAATCTTGTACCATTATACTTGCAGATAGATGTGGGACAACAAAAATCTTGTACCATTAACTCGTAGATAGATGTGGGACAACAAAAATCTTGTACCATTATACTTGAATGGATGTTCACCATGTGTTATAATTGCCTCAAACTCACTAACAAAATATGACCATTTGGCATTGAAAGATACGTAAAACGAAATTTAACTAAAAATCACAAGCAATTATCAAACATATTCAAATAACATGGAAGCAAGATCACTTTTGGCGAACTAACTGAATGAGGGGAACTGTAGATATTTGAACAGCAAGAAAAAGACGACTATTATGAAAGGAAAATAAACTTACGTATAGTGTACAAACAAACTTTCCAGTTGTACACTGGCCGTCTCAAATGAGGCATTCTTACTTTAGGATCACCGTACGTTATCTGCTATGTAGAAGTTTAAGAACAGATCATATATTTTTAGCTTTCAATAAAAGAAAGAACATTGAGAAATATAAAGCTTCATTTAAGGATGCACAGTTACCAACATATAGATCCCTCCAGGTTTAAGAAGCCTACAAGAAAAAATAACAACTAGGATTGGTGAAGGACTAAAAAGCAAACGATAATTGGCAAAGTTTAAATGGAAAAAGAAATTGTGAAATGGTCGAGTAATATAAGAAATTGCATCTGTAAAGTCTACAACCTGCTCACTTCCCCTAACATTTGAGCAGCACTAATTGGAGCATCGTTACCACACTAAAAACATAAGCACAAATGAGAGAATCAGAGTGCGCCCAGTAATGACTAGGAGGAGTCATAAGAACATCACAGCATGCATCATACGATTCATACCATCAGTGAATCAAGAGTTCCTTTGACAGACCACAAACCACAGGTGCAGAAGGTGATGACAGCAACAAAGGTTTACCAAGACGTTAAACAGAAAATTAGTACACAACATTGTATATTTCTAAAATGAGTACACAAAGAAATTGATTCATACCTTTATCAATGACACCGTCAAACGAATCATCTGGGAAGAAACTCATATCTCTAACATCCATTTGCATGTCTATACGATCCATATAGGAAACATACCTAGAGTCTCCAATAGTTACTAATAAAAAGCAGTTAAAAGTAGTTCTAGAGATTTTGATGAAGTAGATTTCCAAAAGGATACATTTCAGCTGAGGTATGTGCTCATATTTGCTTATCATCATGTCGATAGCCACTGATGAAATGTCAATGTTCATTATGTCTTCATATCCATCCTTGACCATGTCCTCGGACATAACTGGGAAAAAGAACATTTTTCCATCATTACCTTAGTCAACAAGTACAGACAGAACCATAGGAAGTATCTTAATACGATGAAATTACAGATGTAAGGGTGCCTTCTGGCTAGACACCGCATAACTGGTACCAAAATCTTTCTCCTACGGATGGCAAGGACAATGCCACGTTTAGGGACCCTAACTGCATCCGGTACGCTATTACTTTCAACATCAAATTTGCTAAATAGTGGGAAAGAAAATGATTCTTTGCAACTTTTTTCATTCTATGACCTGCACAGAATGCATTCGCGGTGGCAATCATATATCTATCAAACAAAACAGAAGGAAAGCACAAAACAGAACCTTAATTTGGGGGATTCATGCTCATGCCAAAATCCCCAAAATAAAAGGGGTCAAATTTGAGTAGACAATGTTCAACCAACCACTAGCAGTAAACCTAAACCCCAATTTCTCTGGTTTTTACCATGACTTCTCAATAATTAAAAAAACCCAGCTCAAAATTACCAAAAAAAATAGCTAAAATGCAACGGGAATGATCAGAACAACTGGATTTCGGGAACCAATACTCTTAACAAAAGTCTCAATAAATAAATACAAGCACAACGATCAATCAATGAGCCAAATTCCCACATCAAAAAAATTTCTTTTCTGTACTTTCCTCTGAGTTTCTCAGCAACCAAACAGAGCAGTTAAAGCAGAGAGTCAGTATATATATAGAAAACAAAAGGGGAAGGGAAGAAAAAGAGAATAAGGGAAATGCGTGGGTGGGTGGAAAAAGAGTACCGGCATTGCCGCAGCCGACCATGAGAACAGAAGAGGAGATGGGGATGAAGTGGCGGACGAAAGGGCGGAGGGAAGAGTAGCGCTGGTACCAGTCGAAGGAGCCACCTTCTTGGACGTAGCGGGCGTCCCAGTAGAGGGCGTCGCCATAGTTGTAGGTGTTGCAGCTCGACTCGTCCCTCAACATCTCCTTTTGCTGCTGCTGCTGCTCTGATGATTTCAGTGGATTTGACTAGACTTCAGTTGGTGAACAGTCGACGAAAGGAAATGAAAGTACGAGAGAGAGAGAGAGAGAGAGAGAGAGAGATGGGGAAGTGAGGTCGGGCTTCGAATTGGGACTGCCTGGCAATAACATTTGGGCCCTTGATCTAGGCCTGCGACATTTTCAGTCCAAACAAGGGTCATCGAGTCCATATCAAACCCAAGCAACCACCCGAACACCACCGACTTTTCCAGCTCAAAGAACCTCTTCACCATCAAGCCCGGCACCCGCCCGGCCTATACACCGCCGCCGAGTCCTTCGGCAGACTCACCGACTCCTCGGCCATGGCGGTGGATGCAGCTTTTGAAATCCCGTCTCCTCCGTTTTACTCCCCTTCTTCCCATTTCAGCCCGCAGCGCCACTTCTACCTCGCCGTCGACAGACACCAGTTCAAGATGGTAATTTCTCCGCACCCATCTGCGTAAAAGTTGAGTTTTTTTAACTAATTGAAGTCAAAATTTGCGAAATTTAATTGGGCAGGAGACCTTGATGGACTTATTGGGCGTGGCGGGTCGGCGTCCGGGGTTGCCCATGGTGGTCTGCTGCAGCTCACGTGACGAGCTCGACGCCGTTAGCTCCGCCGTCGCCAACGTCCCCTATATCTCTTTGGCTTCTCTGGTAAATTTTCAATTTTTCTTCTTCCACCCACACTCATTAGCCATTCCCTCATACAGTGTTATTGTTTGATTGATTCACTACATAAAATCTATGTGCATGAAATGCTATTGGTGTTTAAAAGCCTCAATATGCATCGACCCAAGACGAATAAACCCAGGTTTTTCGTAACTTTTATGAACTCAGTTGTGTTCTAGAACTTATGAAGCATGTTGATTAGTATGCAAAAGGGTATATGAATTTGACAATGTGTGATGAATAAGTTATTAGGACCATGTCCCCGTTAATGAAGATAAAAAAAATGGAAGATTGATCACTGGAAGAAGCTTTGGTGTGGGCTTGGTGTTCGACCAAAAGAGTCTTCGATGGTTAAGTTATATTGCGGGGAGGAAGAACCGCATTAGAGTTTCTTCCTGTTTTCTGTCGACCTTTGGTAGTAGGAATGCACTTATTGTAGAGGAGTTCTCGTTTTATTGGGAATGCGTGATTGGATTATTAGCAGGTATCTTCGTTCCAGTTTTAACCAAGGGGTCTCACCCTTAACATAACGTCCTGTAGGAGTTCGAATTTAGTTGCCTTCTAGGATGGTAGTTGCCAGAAAATGCCAGAAAGGGACAGATAATTGTGCCTGGCTCGACTTTGCAGCGTGCTTTGATTTTTATGCTTCATAGTTAAACTCCGAGCCATTAGTGATAATTATTTGCTGTTATCGAATTTGAAGCTTTTCGAGACTTGGGAGCAGCCTCTCCATAAAATGGGGGTAAGGCTAGCCGACATTCACCTCTCCCAGACCCTGCGTAAAACGGGAGCCTTGTGCACTGGGTACGACCTTTTTTTTTTATCGAATTTGAAGCTTTTCGTGATGGTCAAATGATAACAATCGAAATAGGTGATATTTGGTTGCATTTAAGTTAGTTATTATGGTTATGTTGTAAACGTGCCAAACACAACCATGTTTAGAGACGTTGAAACTTGGATCTCCAATTACCGTTAGTGTTTCTAATGTAGCCCGTGCATCATATCTTGTATCGCAGTACACTGACCTTGCTGAAGCAGACCGTTCTTTAATATTAGAGCATTTTCGGCAAGCAACAATGAGATGGAACCCAGAAGTGAGTGCTCAATCAGCAGTTGATAATGAGTCTGTGAAAGATGAACAAAAATCTCATATGATAGTTGCAACAGATGCATGCCTTCCGCTGCTTGCTTCTGGGGAGTCACCTATAGCTGCCCGTGTTCTTATAAATTATGAGTTACCGACAAAGAAGGTACAGTGTACCGCAATTTCACGCATCCACTTATGCTGACAGTTACTCTTGTTGTGCCATTTCAAGGTCGTTAATGATTGAATTCTGTGTTATAACAGTTATTAACATGGGACTGCATGTGGTTTTGCTACCTTATGCATTACATACTGCGTCCCTTCTATTTTCTCATGTATATATGCTTCCTTCCTTACAATCCTCTGTGCAGGAAACATATACAAGGCGTATGACAACTTGTTTGGCTGCAGGTTCGTCCTACCAAGTTGTACTACTTTGTTAGTTGCATATTAATGGGGTATGCTCTCTTGCGATAACTTTGTACAAATACGTGCAGATGGGATTGTAATCAACATGGTCGTCGGGGGTGAGGTAGTAACTCTCAAAAGTCTTGAAGAAAGTAGCAACCTGGTCATAGCTGAGATGCCCATACATGTGAGTTTGTCAGTGCTTACGTTTCCCACATTCGTTTAGCCACCCTGTTCCTTTCTGTTTCTAGCGCATAGATGGGCACTCGTTTGATATATGGTTGATTGGATTGCAGATTTCTGAGATTTTATGAAGATATATAATGTGCTATGCTGGCGGACATGTTAGAGAAATGATTCCTTGTACTTTGCTGTGGTGGCCGAAGCAATTGTGCGTGATCTGAGTGCTTTTTGAGTGGTTCCGACGATGTTGAATTTATACTGATTTGTGATTTTAGATGAGACTTTGTTTGGTAAGTAGTATACATGAAGGAGGAAGACATACTAAATCCAAACAAGTTTTGACCTTTATTGTTTTCAAGAAAAGAATAAATACGAAGGCAACAAAATAACAAATTCCAAAACTGGATACTTTAGCGGAACTTTTGCCCGGGTGTAGCTACTAGCTACAACATTAGAGATGACAAGCATCAGTGGAGATTAAGAAATTATACTTGAAATGATCATCAAAGTAACATGCTGTTGTTTAACTCGGTACCTCTGGTATCAATTGGAGTTGTTGTACGTGGGTTCTTTGGGCTTGTATGTCTGTTATCAATTAGTTTTAAAAATCTCCCATCAGCAAGAAGACCAAAGAGGTAGTCCAGCTGCTGGAGTTGATTAATGTTGTGGTGGGACAAGTTGTTGAATATTGCCGACGCTGGAGGTGGCCTTGGTAGTCCTGCTCTTTTAACAATACTAGTACTAGTACTAGTAGCAGCAGGAGCACCACTGCACGTCCCAAACTTTCCGACCACAGAGCGGAAGCGGAGAGCCAATGCCAATGCCATGTTATCCGAGAACTAGTCTACTCAGACACTGACACTGCCAGTAAGACCGCTAATGTTAAGTTAAATTGGTTTGTGAGCACAAATCTACACAAGTCTAGACAAAATAGCTTTGTGAAAGCAACACCAAAAATCACTTGGGAGTTTTTTTTTTACAGCAAAACAACAACTGGATTATCGTAACCGAATCAGTCCGTCCCAACAAGAACAACATCATTCTAATTTATCAGAAATTGAAATTCAAATAGAACAATCAGAAATCAATCGTTTGGGATCCCAATCAGGCAATCACAAAGAATAGATTTACCTTAAATATAAAGGAAAACTAATGAAAAATGCTTGAAATTTTTGGGTTTTAATGATAAGGACAAAATAAAGGGTAAAGTGAATAGTATCAAGTTTGACTTTTTAGTGTAAAAATATAATTTTTCGTTAAAATAAACAATACCATAGGTTTTTCGTTAATACTTCCTAAATATAATTTAGGTGGAGGAGGAGGCAGCGGCGGCTAGGAGCAGCAAGCAAACGAACATATTTCACATTTTTTTTTGTCTTTTCTTATTTTATTTGACAGGACGACATTATGGTCCCGCCAAAGCTAGCTAAGACTAAGTTTACTTCAGAAGCCCAGTAGGCTTTTTTCTTTTTATTACGTGACAGAATCTGGTGCCTTGAATCAACTTGTATATGTTTTCAACGGTTGTAGATGAAATAGCAGCAAAATACTACAATACTACAATACCACAACCTAATAGTCAGTTCACTTTGGTTTTTTGGTTGGACTCCTTGTACAGTTCTCTCTCCTCCCTCGATCTCCCCCTATCTCTCGTGTCCAGCTAGCCATTTACAATTTTCTCTTCTCCCTCTCTCTCTTCCCCATCTCTCTCTGTTCAATCCAAGTTCAACCAATCCCAGATCGCAAGAAGATAAACAGCCCCAATCTTCTCTGCCCCACAACCCTGAAAAATCCCAATTTATCTAGCAAGGAAATAGAAAGCCACAATCTTTTTCTTTGTTTCTCTCTCCAGAAGAACCCTAGAAAATCCCAATTCCTAAAGCCCCAATCTTTTCCATCGAATCGGGTGATATTGCTTTAGAGCTTTTGGGAGACTATTTACCCTTGTTTCATCAAATGGAATCCGATCTCAAAACTTTTCGATTCGATTTTGCGGGAGAGGGAGGAGTGAAGAGTCCTTTTTCACTTCTTTTATACATTCCATCCACAACACCCAAGACTAAATCGATTTTTTGGGGAAAGAACAATCATTTTTGCCTTCTTTATGGGACTGGTAAACTCCGCAACACCGATGCAGGCAGATATAGCTAGGGAACGGCACCTTCGGAGGTTGTTCCACGGAGCAGAATCTCAAGAGCAAAAGCTCTGACCACAGTCCACTTTCTCCAAAAGGAAACCCTTTGCACAATCATCTCTTTCCTCGAAGAAGACTTTTTCTTCCTGGCAAGTTGTTGCTCCGTATGCAAAACATGGTACTCGCTTTCAACCATCTTTTCTTCGCCTTTTCTTTTCTTTTCTTTTTTCGGAGTTTTGTAGGTAAATATGAACTAGGGTTTTGTTATTTTTAATGTAGGAGCACGATAATCAACAAGTCTAAATTGCTCCGAGTGTTTTAGTGAAAGCACTTTTGTGCCATTGATCATGAGAATCGTCCTTTAATACTACCATCACCTAGGTAAGGTAACTGTATACACTTCTTGGATTGACGTTGTGTTGTTTTTACAGCAAAACATCAACTGAATCAGTCCGTTCCAACATGAACAAGAACATAATTCTAATTTATCAAAAACTGAAATTCAAATAGAACAATCAGAAATCAATCGTTCGAGATCCCAATCAGGCAATTACAAAGAATAGATTTAACTTAAATATAATTTAGGTTGAGGAGGAGGCGGCGGCGGCTAGGAGCAGCAAGCAAACAGACAGATTTCCCACCTTTTTTGTTTTTTTTTCTTATTTTATTTGATAGGACGACAAATATGGTCCCGCTAAAGCTAGCTAAGACTAGGTTTACTTCGAAAGCCCAATGGGCTTTTTTCTTTTTATTATGTGGCAGAATCTGGTGCCTTGAATCAACTTGTATATGTTTTCAACGGCGGTCGATGAAATGGAGCACAATACTACAACCTAATAGTCAGTTCACCTTGGTTTTTTTCCATTGATTTAGTAATTAAATTTATGCCTTAACTCAGCATTTTCATCATGATGAGTATTAGGGACAGAGTAGGAGAGGTTGGTGATTTTATAGAGCACAATCATCAGGCTGCTTGGGTGCTTTGTGTTTATTTATTTAGGTTTATGTTAAATGGATTTGATGTGATTCTGATTCTGGAATTGGGTGTTGAGTACTGAATTATTTGCTTGATATATTTGTGCTAGAGATTTTCTCCAGCAGTGGAATCTGAGGAAGATTTGAAAAACTGAGAAATCATTATTGTTCTCCATTGGTAAATTGGTCGGAGATGTCAACTTATGTGGGTATTCACATTACGGATCAATCGCTTCAAAGCCAGTTAATGCAGATTGAGCTCTGCAGTCTAGAATCCAAAGTATGTATAAATTTGTTCCCTAGCCAGTTGATGTTTAAAAGTGTAGGAGGTTTATCTGAATTTTGATATCTGTGTGGTATTTGGGGATCTTATTGGATAGTTTTTCTTTAACAAGTGGCTTTGAGTTAATTGCAAACTTTTTGTGCTTTTTAGTTTGAATTCATTGAAGAATCAGAATGGTAAAGTTATGGCTGGAGATTTGCCACCTTTAATGGTGAAATTAAAGGCATTCATAGAAATGTATTCTGAGGAGGAGATCAGAGGTATCTTAAGTGGGTTGGATTTTGACTTCAGTGACGAAGATTGATTTGAATCCTTCCTTAAGGTGATTCATTTTGTTTCTTTGTTTTATTTTTCCTCTCTCTCTCTCTCTCTCACACACACACACGCACACACACACACACACTCCCCTATACACGTACTGAGTTAATCTTAGTGCTGAACAAAGTAGGTATAAGCTTCACGATCAGAGATCGTTGGTTTAAAACTTCAAATTGCAGAAACAGGGCAAGGCTGCATATGTGTGTTGCCCTCTCTAGATCCGAATAAGTGTGGCAGTTTGTAGTATCATAGTACTATACCACCACCCGTTTTAATTGAAAGAAGTCTCAGATCAGAAGAAATGTTTTTTTATTTTCCTTCTTCTGTAGTTAGGTGTATAAGACTTTGCATGTAACTTGCTACATTCACAAGTGAATTTATAGGATTTCAGATATTAATTTAGTGCACAAATTGCATAGGCATACTTAAGTTTGCAAGGGCAAACAACTGTTGTGGTTTTTTGATTCTTTGTGTATGAATGCATCTCTTTTTAATCAATATTGAGGCGGAAGCAATTCAACCCATTGGACCCATTGCTATCATGCGCAATTAAATGTAACTCAATTTCAGAGGTTTAGATGGTGTGTGGCTTATCTAAAGCTTGGAACTGTTTCTGTTACTTTGGAGATGTTTTTGTGTTTAATTACAGCTGGTTATCTAGAGCTTTATGTATTAGCACCTGCTTTCATCCTTTTTTATTGTAGTTGCTCGTGAAAACAACAATAAATCTTCATGGACAGACTATAGAGAGGAGTACAAAAGCATGAAATAAACATTTATAGAAGTTTAAAAAATTTTACCTGCCGATCCAGCAACAGCCCCAATTCAAAGGAACTAATAAGATGTTACAGTGCTGCCTCATCAAGCATTTTATGAATGTCATATAGGCATATTGCCTTGCTTAAAAGAAAATTATACATAGAGAGTGATGGCAAAGGCATTTGACCAGCCAGATAAAACCCTGCAAAGTTCTTATGCTGTTTTGTATGGTTTGTAAGACTTATATTTCTTTTTGTATATTTTCTTATGACAATCATACTGTTGTGGTAAATCTATATTTTTACAACTCATGTAAAATTGTTTCCTAATCTGTCTCTTAGCTTTTATTTGACTACACTCTTATCTAAGTATGTCATATACATGTTGAATTCTCAATCCTATTGCAATATCATTTTTCTTTGGATGCTTTTGTCATTCATTCCAAATATTTTCACCTATTGGTCTTTTCATTTTTGTCATATAAGTATCTAATAAATTAATATCACTAATTCTACATGTTCTTCCTAAATATTTAAAGAAATTTGTAGTATACTCAGTTATATATTGTAAATCACAAATGTAATTGTTTTAAATTTCTAATTGCTCTTATTTGTTCTTGTTCGCTTCTGCTATCTAACATATTATGATCTAAAAATTCTTGTTTATTCAAACTAACAAAACCATCAATATTAAAATGTGTTTTAGATACCTGATGCTGTTGTGGATTTTGAATTTTCCATGACTGAAAATAATCAAAAAGCAAACCATCTAAGGTATGTTCAAAATAGTCTTAACATATTTTGTGAATTACTAAAATCTAACATTAATGCTGCATGGTACGTAACCTTTCTCCCATCTCTTAATCGTTCTTTTCCAATCTTGTGCATCTACATTATCTAAATTTAATATATTTCTTGCTATATTAAGTTGTTCTAATCCTCTTAAATATGAAATCTTATTTTTTTCTAGTTATCATTGTTTCTTCAACAAAATCTACTCTTGGTTGTTCATTTGTTTGTCTCAAAAATTGTTGATCAGTTCTACCTAGATATCTTGGATTTTGATTTTCTACTCCTAATGTACTACTTTCTTCTGCTAGATTACATTCTACTTTCAATTCTAATAAATTATTATATTCTTTTATCCTAAAATATGTTCTACTCATATTTCTAAGATTAATTTTTTCATCTCTTCATCTGAAATTCTATGTAGTCCTAAATCATATGTGTTATATTTTTATAAGTATTGTTCTTCATCTAAATGATCAATATCTTCTATAAGCTTATCAAAAATATGATCAAAATTTTGCTCAACTAAATTAATATCTAAATTGTCAAAAGCCATATGAATACTCTCATTTTCGATCTCTCTCATCCTCGTCTATATTTTCTAGTTGCCTGTAATTACTAAACCTAATTGTTGCTTTACCTGTACTAATTTCATATATTTGTACTCTATCTGGTTGTCTATATTTTGCTACTTGTAAATTAGGTAATATTTGTTGATTTCCTTCTAAAAAGCTATTATCTACGGGTTTTGCTTCCATCATATTTACATGCTTACTACCAAATGTTTGAACTAAATTTTGAAATTCTAAATTAAACTTATGATTATATTTATCAGACATTTTTCCAATATACATTAAACTAATACACAAATTTTATACTCTCCTTTCATATTGTAATTTTTTGTTCTTATGCTACCTTTAATATATTTACTAAATTCATTAATTGTCATAACGTAGTTTGGAATACATCCTATGACTGCTAAGTTTGAATTTAAGTCTACTTCAACTGTTGTTATTGCTGCTTGTTGGTGATTATCTCATCTATCATCATGTATGTATACTAAAGTTTTTGTGCCTACTGTGCTATGGTTAATCCTGCTATTCCAATTAATATTGTTTCTATGTTAATCTGACTAAAATGTGATTTTCTTAAATGAGTAACTACTTCTTCACTAAGAAAATTAAGTGTGACTTCTTTATCAATACAGCTAACTTCATATTGACTAATGCTACTTATAATTCTACTTCTATTTTCAAATAATCCTAATTGGTACAAATTATATTTATTTTCCAATGTTTTCTCAAATCCTCTTCTGATAAATTCTTGTGCTTCCTCTTCATTTGGATAATATCTTCAGCTCTAACTACTTCTTTTCCATTTCTCCTAAAGAATTCCATTTTCTGTTATCAAAAGGATTTATCTTAGTTCTTCTAATATGATTATTTGTACTCAAAGTTAAATTTTCTAATTTTATATTTTCTGCTTGACTAATAATAAGATCTACAATACTATTGGCTTGTGAATTTTCTTCACTATACAAAATATGATTATGTTTTCTCAATGGAAAATAACAAACTAAACTATTTTGGTCTAAGGTTATTTTTCCTTTTGTGGTTCACTAATTTCCAAATTAAGATAATCTATCATAAATTACAGTCTACCTTTCTTTAAAGTTACAGCTAACTGGTTTATTAGAAACTCTATTTCTTATCTCAAAGTCTCTAAAACTTGATATGTTGATCTTTTTGCTTCTAAAACTTTATGTTGCACTTCTATGTTACTATATTTACAAATAAATGAACGATGTTCAAGATAGTCAAGATAAAACTTCTGCTTTTTCAGAGTCCTGCTAATTCTTTTGGATATATATGCTAATCTTCTCTTTATGCTAGTTATAGTTGGGTTATCTTTTCTTTATGCTATTTATAGTTGGGTTCCTAGACACCCAATAAATGCCTAGTAGTTGTGGTTGATAAGGTCTACAAGGACAATAATATCTGTCGTTCATACAAAATAAACGAGTGTGATATCAGTTGTATCAATGACTTCTGTCCTCAAGGTACCTTACGATTATAATTATACTATTAAAATGCTAAACTTGGCTCTGATACCAAATTCGCAAAGCTGGCCCAGTTAAATAGTCGGATGACCATTATAACAACTAGACATAAAACTTTGCACATGGAACTCAACATGTTTCAGCATGACGACCACTCACAATACAAGTATAAGGCATGAACAGCTGAACTTAGAGGTACGAAGAACTCAGAGGTACACTGGCTAATGTCCAATTATTTGTATAGCAAATATTCAACTATAACAGAGTGCTTGAACGAAATATGATCGTCAGTTTAGCAGGTTAATAATATAACTACAATAATGTTTTTATGCTTTGGACTAGAAGTCTTAATTAAACAAATACACTAAAGAAAGAAAGAAAACTTGCTTAAGACTTGAAAATTACTTGAATCTGTACACTTGACCTTTTATTGATATATAGAATGTTTACAAAGAGAAGTGTTTACAAAAAAGTGTTTACAAAGGATGTTAGGAAGGTTTCGGATGCTTGAGTGTAAGAGGATTGAAGTATGGTGTGTATCTGGTGTTGAGGTGTTGTGGTGTTGAGATGTTGAGGTGTTTTCCATGTGTTCTGCATGGAGGAAAAGCTCCCTTACATAAAAAACCTTATCTCTAAAAGACAAAATAACTTTTCAACTATTTACAATTTTTTGAATAATGACAGTACACTGTTTCTGAAAGTTGTCAAAGCTGTCTGACTTGTCTTTGCTTTAATGAAGGTCATGTGAATCCATGTTGACTTGGCTACTACAATGTTTGTCACCTTTTATTTTGCATTCAAATGTTATCTGAAAGTGTCAGTTCTTCTTTCTTTTCTTTTGGATGTATTCTTTAATGAAGACCACGTGAACTTTGCTGAATACTGGACATTTTTGCACATATATTTGAAGGGTAGCATTGGTATTTTTGAAAAGTTTTGTCCTGATGATAAAAAGGAAGCTTTTTTTGGTGTTTCCATTAATTTTCCCTTAATAATAAGAAGTAAATTATCTAATTGTGAAGTAGACAAAGCCCCTATCTCACAATAAAGACAATGCCCCTCTTCGGATCTCTTCCACCAAGGATACCGGATCAAATGATCTGAGCGTTTGAAATTTCATCCAACGGCACCCCTGTTTTAGTCCCTTAAAAACTATAATAATTTTCTGCCGTTTGATGAAATTTCAAAGATTCGGATCACTTGATCCAGTGATCTTGGTGGAAGAGATCTGGAGATGATCTCTTTCCATTCCTTTGGGCCTGATATATATATATATATATATATATATATATATATATATATATATATATATATATATATAGTGAAGTTATTCAAAAAAGAAAATTAGTGAATATTCCAACACCGCACTCGGTATCAAAAGCAAGCAACCACCTGAACGCCACCGACTTTTCCAGCTCAAAGAACCTCTTCACATCAAACCCGGCACCCTCTCGGCCTGTATCACCTCCGAAAAATCCTCGGCCATGGCGGTGGATGCAGCTATTGAAACCCTGTCTCCTCCGTTTCACTCTCCTTCCCATTTCAGCCCGCAGCGCAACTTCTACCTCGCCGTCGACAGACTCCATCTCATGATGGTAATTTCTCCGCGCCCATCTGCGTAACAATTGAGATTTTTGACCCCTGGGAGTTAGAAGTTGTGAAATTTAATTGTGCAGGAGCCGTTGATGGACCTATTGGGCCTGGCGGGTAGGCGTTCGGGGTTGCCCATGGTGGTCTGCTGCAGCTCACGAGACGAGCTCGACGCCGTCTGCTCCGCCGTCGCCAATGTCCCCTTTATCTCTTTGGCTTCTCTGGTAAATTTTCCATTTTTCCTCTTCCACCCACACTCAGTGTTGTTGTTTGATTCAGTTCTTAAATTTTATGTACATGAGCAGCTAATGGCGTCGAAAAGCCTCAATATGCATCGACCCAAGGCGAATAACCCCGGGTTTTTCGTAACTTTTATTAACTCAGTTGTGTTCCATAACTTATGAAGCATGTTGATTGATAGGCAAAAGGGTCTGAATTTGACAATGTGTGATAAATAAAGTAATAGGACCATGTCCCCCTTCATGCTGATAAAAAAAAAATTGGAAGAGATTGGAAGAAGCTTTAGTGTGGGCTTGGTGCTCGACCAAAGAGTATTCAATGGTTAAGTTAGATTGCGAGGAGGAAGAACTGCATTAGAGTTTCTTCTTGTTTTCTATCGACCTTTGCTAGTAGGAATGCGCACTTATTATAAGGGAGTTCTAGTTTTATTAGGAATGCGCGATTTGATTATGAGCAGGTTTCTTTGTTCCAGTTATAACCAAGGTCTCTCACCCTTAACGTAACTTCCTGTAAGAGTTTGGAATTGAGTTGCCTTAGTTGCCAGAAAGGAACAGTAATCGGACCTGGCTCGACTTTGCAGTGTGCTTTGATTATTATGCTTAATAGTTAAAACTCCATTACCCATGTTTGAGACGTTGAAACTTGAATTTCCAATTACCGTTAGTGTATCTAATATAGCCCGTTCATCATATCTTGTATCCCAGTACACTGACCTTGCTGAAGCAGACCGTTCTTTAATATTAGAGCATTTTCAGCAAGCAACAATGAGGTGGAACCCAGAAGTCAGTGCTCAACCAGCAGTTGATAGTGAGTCTGTGAAAGATGAACAAAAATCTCATATGATAGTTGCAACAGATGCATGCCTTCCGCTGCTTGCTTCTGGGGAGTCACCTATAGCCGCTCGTGTTCTTATAAATTACGAGTTACCGACAAAGAAGGTACAGTTCTCATTCTTCCTTTGGGAATTGGACTTAGATGTACCACAATTTCATGCATCCATTTATGCTGACAGTTACTGTTGTTGTGCACTGGGTACGACCTATGCATTACATGCCGCGTCCCTTCTATTTCTCATGTATATAGCTTCCTTCCTTACAATCCTCTGTGCAGGAAACATATACGAGGCGTATGACAACTTTTTTGGCTGGAGGTTTGTCCTACAAAGTTGTACTACTTTGTTAGTTGCATATTAATGGGGTTTGCTCTCTTGCGACAACTTTGTACAAATACATGCAGATGGGATTGTAATCAACATGGTCGTTGGGGGTGAGGTCGTAACTCTCAAAAGTCTTGAAGAAAGTGGCAACCTGGTCATAGCTGAGATGCCCATACATGTGAGTTTGTCAATGCTTACGTTTCCCACATTTTGTTTAGCCACCCTGTTCCTTTCTGTTTCTCTCGCATAGATGGGCACTCGTTTGATACATGGTTGGTTGGATTGCAGATTTCTGAGATTTTATGAAGAAATATAATGTGCTATGCTGGCAGACATGTTAGAGAAATGACTCCTTGTACTTGCTGCGGTGGTCGAGGCACTTGTGCGTGATCTGATCTGAGTGCCCTTTGAGTGGTTCCGATGATGTTGAATTTATACTGATTTGTGATTTTAGATGAGACTTGGTTTTGTATCACTTGCCTAGTGGATTATCGGCCTAATAGATAGAAGGAAAGACACTAGCTGGTTAGAAAAGCCCCGTGTAGCGTCCCTCTTTCGAGGCATGGCTGGTTGCTTTTGAAAAATCGGTAGAATCATATCTTGTTTGAGGACTTCCATTGGACGAGTACACTGCCGGTGTCTGTTACTGCAATTAGGGTTTTCTCCGGCAGTTGACTGTGACATCTAAAGTATGAAGGAAAATTTCATGTACTTTCTTTTGAACTGCGTATGATGAACCAAACCAAAAGCACCCGTATAATTCCATTGATGTACAATCTGTAATTCCGTAAAATGAAATCATTATCCAACACAAATTTACTCACAACAATCATGTAACTTTGGTCATCTGCCGTACGCTCTACTCTCGGATCTTTTGAATTCCAATCCAACGTGCATAATCGACCCACCTGTTCCACAATACAAAGAATTATGAGAATATGAAGACTGAGAGCACAACAAACTAATAAAATGGCATTCAAGGAGAACTCAGATCATACATCAAGGAACCCAAGAACGTGTTGCCAGTTCGAACAGCAAAGCAGATTGCACTCAGTATAAGCTTGTTTTGGTGCAGCAAGGGTTCAAGAAGGCGTTGTTCAATTACTCCGGCGAGAACTTGGTACCTTTGAAAGAAAAGAGATTTCATCATGCACGGTAGGAATAATTAAGCTACGATAAATTTCCAGATTCTTCAAACACATCACTGACTATAGTTCAGACACATAAACATGAATGTGCATCTTCACGATACGAGTTGAGGAGTTAAAGCTACTCAGATTGTATTTTAAGATATCCTTTCACATATATTGCTGTTGCAAGAATTTTGTAAACGGTTTCTTCCGTTACCATGTTCTTGGAGACAATATATGGATTCAAATAGTTAGAAGAGCTTGTTTCTCTTTAGTCATATGCTTACGACCCAAAGCTTCATGATAACCAGAACGGCCCCAGTTCTATCTAGAAATGCCACAAATGGTTTTTTTTTTAAAAGATACGATTCTCCATGATTATGACAGTATTTAAAGCCTCGAAATTCTTTATGCATCAGTCAGTATAGAAATGTTTGTTAATGGCCTAAACTAACGGTTCGTGAAGGTTAGAGTAAACAATAAGTAGAATACTTAAATCTGAAAAAGCCCTTGTACCTTAGATTGCTAGAAACCGCCATATAAACTCCATAAGCTACACTAGTTGACAATATGGGAACATCCTCTGCTTCACCAGCAAAAGATTTATCGATAGCTTTTCGTGCATTAATCAAGGCATTGGTTACACCCGTACCAACCTGAAATGATTTTTAATCAAAACTGTAATCCATCATATGACACCAAACGGCTACTAACTATGTCAACAATATTGACATAGTCAAATAAGAGAAAAGAGAATCAAAATTCAAAGAACACTTCATATGTACATTCTGCAACGATAAAATAAGACAAAAACAATCTAGTAATGTACCAAAACTCCCATTTCTTTCTCTGCATGTATAATATTGCAGACAGCAATTGAGAATTACATTACTTTCAATGACAATAAAGCACACCAGAGCCTCAGAATGGTGAATAAATTCTCAGACTGGTTGGAGAAGCTCATGCCTTTGTATATTATTTGGAGAAAAAGAAATTTGCAACTTTACCATACTTGAATGTTGATACAGCATTAAAACTAATGGCGTTCTACCAATGGCTTAATTTAAGTTTGCCAAAATCGAGTCCTGATTAGATTTAATTTTTCGACAACAAAGCTCAAACAACCAGTGGTGTGATCATTAAATTAGAATCAGTAATGGATTTTAATCTTGAGTACGGAAAGAAAATTTTGATAAGACATATACTGCATAAGTATCCGGCATGTTTTAGTACAAATGCTAGTAGATTTAGCTTATATGCCAAACAAAAGCTGATATAGATTTTCCTACATAACTTAAAAAGTATGAACAGTATTTGATGGTTGCTGAAAATTCCATTGTTTCCAACCAAGATAGAACAAATATCAAGTATCTTACGGGAAGCTTTGGCCATCTTCGGTGTTCTAATGTCACATGAAAAGTTCATGATAAAAGGGAAAACGAAGAGGACAGCCATAATGTTTTACTTGCGTAGATGTTACAGATAATTCTAAGAAATGCTAAAGCTAAGGCATTTCGAAACATGTAAGGTGTTTCACTTACCAGAGATGCACCAGTCCCGACTGCAAATAGTTTAGCTCCATTTCTCTGAATAAAACCATCAAAATACTATAAACTCCAATGCGCCATAACGTCAAATAATTTTAGATGACATAACACAAAATCACATACCACTATTGCGCCTATTCTCTGTAAGAGTGAGTAAGAGGTTCCAGACAAAGCTACCTGCAGGCAATATTGATGACTCACATGATGTTATAGTATGGTATATGATAAAGTGGTAACTTGTAAAGCCAAAAATAATGAAGCAAGAAATAACCTGGAAAGCATTATCTGGACACCCATAGAAGAACTTAGCAATACGGCCTGCGCTGACAGCAAGAGGTGGTCGAAGTGAAACAGTAGGAGCGGGAAGCCAAACAAGCATAAAATCAGCTATGATGGCCATCACCTAAGTTTTAAAAGGAAAAGAAAAAATATCCGTTTAACGGTCAAGCGGCAAAAAGGTGGAACAAACCAAAAACAGAAACACTACCAGAAAAGGAAGGCAAGAACACATAGCATGAATTGGACCAAAAGACTTCTGCTAGAAAGTTGAAGGATCGCTGCAGACTTTTGCACTCAAAGCAACTCATAGCTTGACATATATTAAAGCTTATAACAACAAACGGAAAACTAAATCGACTGATTGAAAAAACAAAAGGGCGTGAAGTAAATAAAAAAGAAGAGTAAAAATGACCAAATACATGAATATGATTCAATGATTCTGTAATTGGAAGTGCACAGATTGCACATAAGGTTGCTAACAATAGTTTGCATTGAGCTCAAAACGAACAAAGATAGTTTTCTGCATCCATTACAATCCATGACCCAAAATGAAGAACATGCTTCGCTGAAAGGCAGAATTTCCTAGTTTAACTTATTTATTTCTAACTTTATATCATATGGCATATCTCAGATTCCGCCAAAGCGTTTCAGACGATTGTTGCGCTAATTTTACAAACACCACTTGTATAAACTGCTCATCTATGAAGCAGATGGAAACTACTTTGATTTGTGATGATAATTTTCCATTTTATAGCACAATGAAATCAAAGCTCTTATTTATATAAGAGACATACCACATCCGCAAAAACAAAATCGAGCTCTTTGGTAAAATTTTCTCGGCGCCGCTCCAATTCTGCAGCAGTCTGAAAAATGAGCAACACGGAAAGAGCTTACATCCATACTAAGAGATACTCCAAAGTGTACTTCATGTTCAAAAGTCAATGATATCCAATGCATTATAGGGACACCATCTATGTTGAGAGAGAAGGACTTACACAGAACGGGTTCACCATCATGTGCCGTCCTTGGCAGCACATGGCAATGCATTATTGGATAAAAGACGCCACATGGCAGTAAACCCAATACATGTAAATTGTCCCAAATAAGAACGGTTGATGCCACAATACGGTCAAGATTTCTTCCTCTCAAAATTCTAAGAATTATGACTTTGTTATATTTTTGGCATCAACAAGAATAATCACAAGCAAATGTGAACATCAAATTCTATTAAGAAGAATTTACTCTTAAATAAATCATACTAAATCAAGTGACATAACATGAGGAGGCGAGAAAATGGAAGGGCGAAAATCACTATTTTGTCTCGTAAAAGGAAGAGAGTAAATGAAAAGCGTGGACCTTGGTGAATATCCCAACGCCGCACTCGATGCCAACTTTAGTCAAGAACAAGTCGTCCGCAAGCAACCGCTCCTTGAACCCATCAAACCCAAGCAACCACCTGAACACCGCCGACTTCTCCAGCTCAAAGAACCTCTTCACAATCAACCCCGGCACCCGCCCCGCCTCTATAGCCGCCGCCAAGTCCTTCGGGAGACTCTCCGACGACCTCCCAGCCTCAGCCATTGCCGCCAGGGCCTCCGCCTTGTTTCGATCTCGGTCCTCACCACTTCCATCACCGTCATTGTTATTACCTCCACTTCCGCCGTGTCCACCTCCGCCTGATGGGGGCTCACCGCCGTATGCGGCGGCGGCGAGGGGGGATCGGTGGAGGCGGGAGGTGGTGAGTTGGAGGGAGGGAGTTGCGGTGATGTTAGTGCGGGAGATGATGGTGAGAGTGAAGCTTTTTGGAGAGAGAGAGAAATGGCGGGGGGTGTTTGGTGAAGGGGGAAATTGAGAGTGAGAAGTGTAGAAGTTGGAGATGGTGGTGACTGCAGCCATCGTTGGTTGTTTTGCAGCACTTTACTTTCACTACCTCCCTCTTTCTCTTCTCTCTTTCTCTCTCTCTCCTCTTTGAAGAAGTAGAGAGAGAATTGGAGAATCAGGAATGAAGGTTGTTGAGAGAAAATGGGTTGGTGGATCCAACTGGGTCTTGGTCTTCTTCCTCTTTCAGTTTTCTTTCTTTCTTTATTTTTTGGGTTTTGATGAAACGATTTGAATGTGATTTTTGTGGACAAGAAGAACCTATTTTTTGGGGAGTGAACATTTGGAGAAAACGACTAATTAAAAGTTCATGCGTCTTTTCGACAGCCAAGGCTGGACTGTGTTGGAAAAGGCTAGGATTCTCTCATTTCCTATTTTTAATCCTCTTTCATCTTTTATTTTCATAGTCTTTATTTTTTTTTTATTAAAAATTAATATAAGATATTGATGTGGTTTAATTGTAACCACTCAAATAAAAGAAAATGTAAGAATAAGGAAAAAAATATGAGAAAGAATCCTAATCCGGAGGCAAAAGATCATTCTTATATATAAAAAATAATAATTAAAAGTTCATGCAACTGGTTTTTAGTTCGTTTTTGCACACCGTTATGTGTCTATGGTTAGTTTATTCATTTCATAAAATAATCCTAAATTTTTTATATTTAAATATTGCGTAATTAAATTTGGTCAAATTATTTTAGACATTTTAATTAAAAGCGTTTGAGTTAAATTTATTTAAAATAAATCATTTAATAATTTTATTTAATATAAAAGGTTTGAAATTTAATTAATAGAACAAAAACTAAAGCCTCATAAATAAGAAACAAACCCATGCAAAACCATTTTTTTGGCTGCCGGCCTCTCCCCCGAGGATGTA